GCAGTAAATATTTACAGAGCCTTGTTCACTTGAGCTATTTAAAGCAATTTTCCTGAGACATCAATCTGTTTAAAGAGAGAGCATGAAATGCACATCTCCCTTGTCTTTCTGCCTTTTCCAGTGGGACTTCCAGATCTAGGTACCTGCTTTCCTGCTGACTCCTCCATTGTGTTTCCCATGCTCGTGCAGGTGCAGTTCAGGGGCTTGGCTGAGTGGAGGTACCCCTGTCTCCAAGCCATGAATTCCCAAGGGGAAAGGGAATGACAGAAAACTGTCATTTCTCTTGGAGGGGTTTTACTTTTCCTACTCACATCAGGTGTCATCTTTTGGGTGAAAGCTTGAACTAAGCTCAGGTTGGGTGTGGGGTTTCCAGGTGATATCAATGCAAAGTGTGTTGTGCACTGCATGAGTAATCTGGAAGAGGTCAGAGTTTCCCATAACAAATCCTGTGTATTCCCATGGGAAAATGACTTTGCTTTCTTAGGTTTTCCTTAGACCAGTTGGCAATAGAAGGAAAGGTTTGGAATTCCCTGGAGCCTTGCCCGGGAGTGTGAAACCCGGCTCTGCAGAGGAGAATTGGGTGTCTGACATCAGACTTGGTGACAGCAGATCCCTTTGCACAGTGCCCTGTGCCAGGTCTGCTCCAGGAACGGGGCTGGGATGGCGTCAGCAGGAGTCTAAAGCAGGGCTGGAAAATTAGCAGAGGAGTCGGCCCAAGTGCTAAATCTGAGAGAACAGCCCAGACTTGTTCCCCAAGCCTCATTCACTGTGTTGCATCATGCTCGATATTGGTCCAGGAGGAGATCAGTTGATATAAAATAAGCTTTGAACAAGAGTGGTTTCTTTGCCCCGGCGCCGCTCCCCGAGGGCCGGGCAGGGCTGGTTCGTCACCGCGTGGGGTTGGTGGGGTTTGAGCAGCACGGCCCTGCTGAGGCATCAGGGCTGCAACTGGAATGTCTGTGCCTGGCTGTGAGCAGAGGGGATGCTCAACTGGGGGAAACCTGTCAACACCACAGTGTCAGAAAGATATAAGCTCTTAGGGAGTGTCCAAAGGAGGGCAACAAAGATGGGGAAGGGCCTTGATTTGAAGCCCGTGTGAGGACACTGAGGGCACTTGATGTGTTCAGCTGGAGAAGAGGAGACTGAGGGGAGACCTCACTGCAGTTCCAGCTCCCTGGGCAGGGGCAGAGGAGGGGCAGGGACTGAGCTCTGCTCTGGGGGGACCAGGGACAGCAGCCAGGGAATGGCTGGAGCTGTGTCAGGGCAGGCTCAGGTTGGATCTCAGGAAAAGGTTCTTCCCCCAGAGGGTGGTTGGGCACTGCCCAGGCTCCCCAGGGCAGTGGGCACAGCCCCAAGGCTGCCAGAGCTCCAGGAGGGTTTGGCTGATCCTCTGGGGCACAGGGTGTGACTGTTGGGATGTTCCTGTGCAGGGCGAGGGTTGGACTTGATGACCCTTGTGGGTCCCTTCCAACTCAGCGCATTCTCTGATTCTGTGAACTACAAAAAGGAAACTTTAAAAACTGCCCTTGAGCTGCCTGAAGAGCAGAGGCAGAGCAGCAGCCCTGGCGTGGCCATGGCCTGCACTGTCTCCCTGCCCTCAGCCTCTGCACAGAGGTGGCATCTAGTGGCTGCTGTGGCCCTCTGTCCCCATGTCCCTGGGATGAGGGAGGAGCCAAGGCTGAGCTTGAGCTGTAGGCTGGGCCTAGGAAAGCGAGCTGGGCTGCTGTCTTAGTTTAACAAGATTACAATTTAGAAATAAGGAGACTTCAGGTGGAAGTGTGGAAAGGGAAAAAGAAACAGCTTTATAGTAACAAAATCTGAATAAACAACAAATGGTGCAATTAAAAACTTTCAGAAGAAAACAAAGCAAAGTCCCAAATCCCCAGGTGGGGGAGGAGAAACCCGTGGCAGCCCGGGGAGGGGATGGGGGGAATGGAGGGGAGGCGACGTTGGGGGAAAATTCCAACATCTACATTATGTAGATTTTGTGGCACCAGTGAGCCAGGGTCATCCTGCACAGCTGTGGGAGGGCTGTGAGCTGTGTCCTGCCTGGGATGCTAACCAGGTGGGAAAAATAACATACCAAAAGGGAGTCCCTTTGAGCTGTCCTGATGCTCTGAGTGTTTCTGGAAGAGGGAGGCTGAAATCTTCTCCAAAACATCAGTTGTACAGATTTTGGTCCTTATCAATGAGCTTGTGGGCAGAGTTTGCTCCAAAACCTTTTGTAAATGCAGTCCCTAGTGCCAGTTTGGGTGTGTGCAAGTTAAAAAGTACAGCACTTTCCTGCACCCCATTGACCGCATACTGCTCTGCCTTAACTCAGGTGTGTGTGACCATCTCAGAGCAGTGTCCCAGCAGTGCCACGGGGGTGATCCTCAGAAAGGCCTCCCCCCTCCACCTCCAGTGCTCCAAGGAGAGAAGTTCTGCCCAAACACACAGACTGCCCTGAGCCAGGCAACAAAACCACTTGGCTGGAATTCCAGCTGCCTGGAATTGGGAAGGGGTAGGTTTGGTACTTTTTTTTTCACTGAGCTTTTGCACTTGGCATGAAATGTGGGGGGCAGCAGGTACCTGGAGACCCTGCTAGAACCATCCATCGTGGGGAGCTCTGGGAATTCCCACAGGAGCTCTGGGCTGCCAATCCTGCCTGACTCCTGGGAAGGGAGATCTGCAGGTACAAAGACAACCTCGTGCTTCCTCCCCCCATCTCACACACCTTCTCTGTGTGTGACATCACTGTGAAGGACATGAAGGGCTTTTGCTTTGCCTGTTTCTTTTTCCCTGAGCATCTTGAGGAAAGAAACTTCCCCCAGGAAGTTTTCCAGTGCATTTTTTACTGGTTTTCTGCTTTGGTCATGGCTGTATTATTGATATTTTATATATATATATATATATATATATATATATACATACATGAAACAACCAAAGACTGGTGTCACTCTGGTTTAAAGTATGTGATGTAGTTTCAGATGAACACAGAGTATTTAAAGCATTTCTCTGGTGACTGAGTCATGAATATTTGGGACAGGGAACCCATGTTCCCCATGTTGGGGATGTAGGATGGACAGTTTGTGGGTGTGGAGCCTAATGAAGACATTTGTGTGTTTGACATTTACATTAATGAGCTTTCTTCTCTTCCCAGTCAAGCTGAGCCTCTATTAAGGGCTCATAATCAAGTGATTTGTTTCACCTCACCAGTGGCAGTTTTGGAAATGTGGTTTCTGTGCCCTGAAAACTGCCTCTGTTCCCCCTCCTTGGTGCTTTCCTGCAGCTGCTCCATCTGTGTGCCTGCACTGCTGAGCGAGGGCTCCCTGCCTGCAAGGAGCTCCTGTGCCTGAGGAGGAGGTTCTGCGTGGGGCAGTCTCTGAAACAGCACACTGGGCTTAATTAGCCCCTTCCCAACAGCCCATCAGAGCCTGGGTCAGGAACTGGCAGGAGAAGATGCCTGGATACTCCCTCCTTGCTGGGGAAAGATGTCTGAATACTCCCTCCTTGCTCCCACTGCTCCTTGCCATCCCTGGGGATGAAGGAGATTTATACCCGCCTGAAAATAAATACAGATCAGTCACTTGTCTCTGGAGGAAGATAAAATGTAAACTGTCTGTTTTCTGTGATAAAGCTCTGGAAATAGTTGGGATTTAAGATAATTATCTTTATTGCTTTTTATAGCACCCTGTGAAGGCTGAAATCTAATTTGTTTTTCACTAACAGGGAACTCCTGCAGATGACTCAGAAAAATCCATTTGCTTTATTGACAAACTTGTCTGTTTGGTTGTCAGGGCAGTGTTCTCCTTGCAGGGAAAGGGAAATGCAGGTCGGGTTTTAATACAGATTCAAAGTCTGATATCTGTTGGCAAGAGGAAAAAATAAAGTTGATCTAATCAGAGTGAAGCGACTCTGCTTTATTAAAGAGGGCTGTAAATTAGTTGATGCTTCAGTGGGTGTGCAGTGGTGGTGCTTCGTGCTTTTGTTTAAGCAACTTCACTTGAAGCTTATTAACTAGAGCCTGCAGAGAAGCTGCTTTTCCTGGGCACCTGGATTTCGGGAAGGAGGTGGGAGGTGCAGCTGTGGCTCTACCCCTGTGCCTGGGGCTGTGGGGAGGGTTGAGTTTTGCATCATTTGAACCTGTTGCTTGCAAGTGGAGTTGCCCGTTTTAAACTTCTCGGTCTGACTGTGAGGCAGGCTCCCCCTGTTAACAAACTCCTTGTGTGTCTGAAGATGTTGGACACCCCTTGAGTGAATGAGTTGTGTGCCAGCACAGCTGGGTGTTGTGGTTTGGGGGGGGTTCTGGTGCTGTGTGTGAAAAGCAGATGATGTCTGTGCTGCCTTCTCAGCCCTTCATAAGGGGGACTGTGTCCTGCCTTGCCTCTGGGATCCACACCCCAGGGCTGCTCAGAAGAAGAAACAGCATTCCCTGGGCAGGTTTTCTATATCAGCCACCTCTCAAAATGTCCTGTGACTGCAGGCAGGGATGTTTGAGATGCTGGAACTGCAGGCTCAGGTAGTGGAGATGCTTATAAAACGAGTTTGTGTCTCACCCCCCAAAAGTCTAAATTATCAGTCATATGGGATAATGCTGCAAACCACTGAATCTCACATAGTCACAGAATGGTTTAGGTTGGAAGGGACCTTAAAGCCCATCTCATTCCACCCCCTGCCATGGGCAGAGACACCTTCCAGTAGACCAGGTTGCTCCAAGCCCCATCCAGCCTCTCCTGACAGGTTTTATCCAACAATGGACAAATCGTAAGAAACAATGGGGTTAACTGCATTTTCAGGGAGGAGGGATAGAGCTCCAGCACAGCAGTCTTTGCCTTGAAGCAGAAGCCTATTTCTATCAAGTCTCTATTGTCCTCCACAAAGAGGCAGCAGAGCAGAGGGGGGAGAACATCCCTTTCAGTAAACATGAGGTGACAGATCCGGGTGGGCAGAGCAGGGTTCCTGTGTGTCTCTGAAGACCTTCCCGGTGTTTGCTCAGCTTTTCCTTGCTTTTCTTTCAGGAATTGACTACAAGACCACTACTATCCTGTTGGATGGCAGAAGGGTCAAGCTGGAACTCTGGTGAGTGTGAGTGTGATGCAGGCCGGGAGAGCAGGGGCAGGGGGCTCTGGGAGTGCTGGGGGGCTGCTGGACCCGAGAGCACGGAGCATCCCTGGCCATGGTGAGGCTCCTGCCTGTTCTTCCCAGTGAGTTCCTGTGGCAAACCAGATACCTTTCTGTCAGTGGAGTAGCACAAACACCGTGCTGCTCTGTGCTGGAATAGTCTGATTTCTGTCTTTCTCCATCATGCCTGACCATTTCTGCCACTACTCTGCACTTGTGAGACCCCCCTGCAGTTCTGTGTCTGGGTCTGGGGTCCTCAGCACAAGAAAGACATGGACATGAACAGGTCCAGAGGAGGTCACAGAGATGCTCTGAGGGCTGAAGCCCCTCTGCTCTGGGGCCAGGCTGGGAGAGCTGGGGTTGTTCACCTGAAGATTATCTCAGCGGTCTTTTCCAACCCATCTGATTCTATGATCCTGTGATTCTCAAGTCCAACCCTTGATCCAGCCCCGCCGTGGTTCCCAGCCCGTGGCACTGATGCCACATCCAGTCTCACCTTAAACACCTCCAGGGACGGAGAATCCACCCCTTCCCTGGGCAGACCATTCCAATGCCTGATTACCCTCTCTGTAAAGCATTTCTTCCTGATATCCAACCTAAACCTCCCCTGGCACAGCTGAAGACCCAGCCCTCTTGTCCTACTGCTGGTTCCTGGGAGCAGAGCCCGACCACCACCTGGCTCCCCCCTCCTGTCAGGGAGTTGCAGAGAGTGAGGAGGTCTCCCCTGAGCCTCCTCTTCTCCAGGCTGAACCCCCCCAGCTCCCTCAGCCTCTCCTCCCAGCACTTGTGCTCCAGTCCCTTCCCCAGCCTCGTTGCTCTTCTCTGCACCTGCTCCAGCCCCTCCATGTCCTTCCTGAGCTGAGGGCCCAGAGCTGGACACAGCACTTGAGGTGTGGCCTCCCCAGTGCTGAGTCCAGGGGCAGAATCACTTCCCTGCTCCTGCTGCCACACTGTTCCTGAGCCAGGCCAGGATCCATTGCCCTTCTTGGCCACCTGGGCACACTCTGGCTCATGTCCAGGGAGACCTGAGAGCCCCTTCAGTGCCTAAAGGGGCTCCAGGAGAGCTGGAGAGGGACTTGGGACAAGGGCCTGGAGGGACAAGACAAGGGGGAATGGCTTCCCTCTGCCAGAGGGCAGGGTTAGATGGGATATTGGGAAGGAATTGTTGGCTGTGAGGGTGGTGAGGCCCTGGCACAGGTTGGGCAGAGAAGCTGTGGCTGCCCCATCCCTGGAAGTGTCCAAGGCCAGGTTGGATGGGGCTTGGATTCACCTGGGCTAGTGGAAGGTGTCCCTGCCCATGGCAGGAGGGTGGAATGAGATTGGCTTTAAGGTGCTTCCAGCCCAAACCATTGTATGCTTTTGTGTTCCTGTACAGCTGTTGATCATTGAGGGAACAGTACTATTTTGGAAGCAATACTGGATTTTCCTGAGATCCAAGGATGAGAAATACAGACAGAATAGGAAAGGAGAAGACAAAAATAGGTGAAGCCCTTAGTCCCTCAGGAGCTGGATATTTCTCAATGACTAGAGGAGAAAATTAAATTAAAACAAGAGCAGTTAATAGACCTCAGAGTGTCAGAGTCTGGTGAACCCCTGGAGAACAGGACTGACTGGAGTGACAGGACACTGGGATGGAGATGGGAGAACATTCCATGGGAGGGGTAACTCTTGCCTTGTCTGCCAGCACTGCAGGGAGAGCTGGAGTCCTGGCTGAGCTGTGTCTGAGGTTTAACCTGCTGAGGAGCTGGCACAGCAATCCTGGAGATGAGAGAGGAGGGATAGGATAGGATAGGATAGCATTAGGGTGAGATAGGATGGGGAAGGATAGAATAGCTTTAGGATGGGATAGGATAGGATAGAGTAGGATGGTGTTTGGGTAGGATAGCTTTGAGATGGGATGGGATGGGGTGGGATGGGATGGGATAGTCTGCCCATATTCTGGGTTTTACATGGGTCTTGTGGGGAATGACACAGGCCCTAAAACATGGAGTTAAATAGCCCCTACCAGCTATTGAGTCAAGTAACAGGAATATTAGTAACCTGTGTGAATTGTTAACTAGGAATGAACTCCATGTTCTCAGCCTCAGTGAGTGACTCTGGCAGCGTGGAGTTTGGTGGTTTAATTACACCCTGCTCTCTGAAGCTGAATGTCCTCATTTTTCTTACAAAAAAGAACAGAAGCAGCTCATTTATCTCTTCCAGCCTGTGTGTTTATATGTGCCACTTGCATTCTTGCCTCTCTCTCATAAGATGCCTGTTGGAACATTTCAGCCCCAAGTGTGTAGTAACTTACTGCTTCCCTCTTGAAACCATCTTCTTTTTATGCCGCAATTCTTGAGCTGGAGAACAGCACAGGAGCTGAAAAGCTGATAACAATGGTTTATGATGCCTTAGTGTAATCTTTCACCATTACTTACCCACTGTTTGATTGTCAAGGGAGAAGGATATGTAAGCACAGGCTGTTAGATTGATGTCCAGGGCCTATAATATGATCCCTGGAAGCTTTAAGCTTTAGATCTGAAGGAGTGACTGTCCTGAACTTGAGGTCAGTGCCTTTCTCATGGAGCTGATGCACATCTGGGGCTGAGGGGGCAAATCATCAGTCTTTTCAGTGGTCATTAATGTCTTTTATTCTGGCCCAGGGAATAGATTTGGCAAACATGATAATGTATCTGATTACCCTGGTGCATCTAAGTCTGTACTGGTTAAATTGGTGTGCTGGGCTCTGGCTTTTTGTCTCAGATGTTCCCACAGGCACTGGAGTGCTGGTAATGCTGTCAAACTTAGTTACACCCTGCTAAGACAGTAAAAATGATAGTGACTGAAGAGCCCCTTATTGTCCCAGTGGGATAGAAACACTGTTCCCTAGTCCTGCTCATTAGCTCTCCATACCAGGTCTGTCAGGAATCTAAGAGAATTCCCTTTATTTTCAATTTTTAAAACTTGTTTGAAAAAATAAGAAGCCAGATAGTGCAAGATAATTTCTCCTCCCTGTAGTGGTTACAGTCATCTTATGGTAGGTCAGATGTTCTCCATGCCAGGGAGAGCTCTGCAGACTCACTCTGACTCTGAACTCCCGTGGGCTGTAGGGAACCAAGACAGAAGATCCTTTGCCCAGGGGAATAAAATGACTTGCACCCTCATACTTCATCAGACAGTACTGAAGCCGAGTGGTTTGGGTTGGTATTTTCTCCATGGGAAGCACAATGACAGTGGCAACCTCTTGAGTGTCTGACTGTGTCCAAATGTGGTGTTGTACCCACTGATTCTTCCCAAAAAACCCACCATGCAGAGCACTTTGGGTACCATGTGTGTTCTAAAGATCTGACAAGATCAACACTGATTTTATTCTGGTGTTTTGGGTCCAGCAGGAGATGTGCAGTATGGGAGTCAATTCCCCACATTTCACAGCTGTAACTTTTCTGTGTTTCAGGGACACTTCAGGGCAAGGGAGATTTTGCACCATTTTCAGATCCTACTCCAGAGGAGCCCAGGTAAGTGCTGCTCTCAGGGCTTTGAAGAGGTGCATTTGCTTTTCCTTTAGGCTGTAGGAATCTTTTCTGCTGTAGTAAAGAGCTCTGAAGAGGAAGGCATTGATCAGCAAAAGGATCTGCGGAGATGCCAAGAGGCATCTTGTTGCCTGGGATTCTGTTCTTATGAAATGGTGGGAGAAAGGGGAGGGAATGACAGACTTTGCTAAACTCCTACAGAAAAGGTCTGTACAGGCTATGTTCAGTATTAATTTCTAGAGGTGGGGTTAGAGAGGACGAGGCAATTCTCGCTTTAGATGTGCCTTAAGCTTTGATGTGGGAGCTCCTACTTTCTGAGGTTTCCCAAATTTGTTTAAATATGACACTGGCTTTCCCAGTGGAGCTCTTCCAGGCTGTGTTGCCTTCAAGTCAGTTCCAAAAATAGGGGTGGCTCCTACTTGTGTGTCTGAGGAAAACTTGGAACTAGAGCAGCTCAGTTGGATTGTGAAGTGCGTGTGTTCCTTAAAACTTGAGGCAGAGCCTTACAGTTTGAGTTTCTCCTCTGGGGCCTGCTCCAGAATAGCATCAAGATCCTCAACAGCACAAAAATCCTTGGGGTCCTCTGGAAAATTGCTTTTAGTGTTTTCTCACGGTTCTGTTGTTGTCCTTGTAATAACATGACAGAGGCTCTCCAAGATAAAGTCTCCCTGAGTTTAATGAGCTACTGTATTTACCTTATTGTTTCCAAATTGGAAAACTTTGGAGAAAATTCCTCCTCTCTTAGACACCCGGAGTCAGAAGCTGCCTATCAGCCTCCTGACTGTGCTGGTATCCTGGCAGATTCCCAGCCTTTGGGAAACTTTGCCACTTTCATTTAAGCTCTTGCCACTCTTGGCTTTTTGCTCCTCGTAGGACCTTTGCTTTTGAAACTGGGAAAATCCATCTTGCTCTCTTTCCCTAAGACTTCCTGCAAATTCCCTTGTGCCGCAGACATGGGAACACCTCACCGGGGATGTGAGGTTGAGATCTCTGGTTCATTCATGTTTGTGCACATCTCTGGTGGTCTGGATGCTTTGAGGCAGCTCCTTTGAAGCAGAGGCCAATTTCCTGGTGCTTGCAGAAGTGCAGGGCAAGGAGTGTTGGAATTCTGCAGTGGGAGAGCCCAGGATCTCCCATTCACATGCTCAGTCCTGTGTCTGAGTTTATCTTTAAGCTTTCCTCTGCCCTTACACATTTCAGAAAAGTCTGGAGCTCCAATCGCAGAATCACAGAACAGTTTGGGTTGGAAGGGACTATAAAGCTCATCCTGTTCCACCCCCTGCCATGGGCAGGGACACCTTCCACTAGCCCAGGTTGCTCCAAGCCTTGGGCACTTCCAGGGATGGGGAGTCCACAACCTCCTAATGGAACCTGTGGGCTTGAGGCCACATCACTTCCCTCAGCAGTTATAAATGACCAGAGCCTGGTCAGTGTGGTTTGCTGGTGACCATGAAGCTTAGCTTTGATCAGGCTTTTTTCTGAGACCTCGCTGTGTCAGATTCCCAGAATAAACTGGGAATAGAAAGCAGCAACTAATATGTCCAGAAATACCATTTGAGAGCTTTTACCCCTGTCTGCAGCCACTGTGCAGAATCTCCCCTCAGTGTAGCCTGTGAGCTCCTCAGAGCAAGTGCTGTGTCTCCACAGGGCTGCACCCACACACCAGAACTTGTACCTGCTGCTGCCACCGAGGGAACTGGGGCAGAGGGGGAGGTGAAATAAGGAGTGATGAGGAATTGGATGGAGAGACAGGTCTAGAACCTGCCTGGAGCTGTGAGGTACTGGCACAGCACATCTGTGGGTTCCTGCAGCCTGGATATGACATTTGGGTGCCATAAGGTATCTGGCTGACCTGACCTCAAGCTTGAAATGGAGTGATTTTCTCTTCCTTCCTCAAAATGAAGTTTTTGACCTTCTTCGCTTTGGAGGCAATGTCCTGCCCTTGTGCTGTGCTTATCAGCTTTGCTGGAGGGACTCTCACCTGAGGTTTGCCTCCTCCATCTTGCTGCCTGCCCCTCCCAAGGAGTGAGGCTGAGACAATGAACCTCATCAGCCAGGCAGGGGGACCTTCAGGGTGAATACTTCATCAATTCATGGAATCCTTAAGGTCGGAAAAGCCGTCTGAGATCATCGAGTCCACCCGTTAGCCCAGCCAAGTGACTGCCAAGGCCATCACTAAACCATGTCTCTGAGCACCACATTCTGCAGGGGGTTCGTGAACACTTCCAGGGATGGTGATTCCACCACTGCCCTGGGCAGCCTGTGACCACCAGTGGTCCGACCAGCCTTTCAGGGAAGAAATTTCCCCAGTATCCAACCTAAACTTCCCCTGGCACAACTTGAGGCTGTTTCCTCTTGCCCTTGTTACCTTGGAGAAGAGACCAAACCCCCAGCTGGCTCCCACCTCCCTTCAGGCAGCAAACCAGCCCTAAGGAGTGAGTCTGCCCAGGAGGAGGAGGAGTTCCCAAGGGAAGTGAAACACAGTGGAAAGCCTCTTGAAGACTAGTGACTGCAGTCCTTGTACTGTCTGCTCCAGGCAGCTTGGAGGAAAACTCAGGTTGTTTTCAGCATGAAGTGGTTGGCTCCCATGTGGTGATACACTGATATTCCTGTATTAACAGGAATACAGGTACTCTCTTAAATAACTCCCCACATCTTTCAGTGGAAGGGGAAAGCATCTAAATTTATACTCTGAATGGTTAACCAAAGCAAGAGGACTGTTTGTTTTGAATAACAAATGCCTGTGTGATTGCAAGGATGGACTTCCAACACCTCCAGTTATTTTCAGTATGCAGAAGCTGACTCCTCTTGGCATGGCTTGAGCACAAACACAACCTGACCATTGTGGTCTTGGCAGCGAAAGAGATAAAATGCTCCTGAGTCGCCTGATTTAGAACCACGGAATGGTTTGGGTTGGAAGGGACCTTAAACCTCATTCCACCCTCCCGTCCAGCCTGGCCTTGGACACTCCCGGGGATGGGGCAGCCACAGCTTCTCTGGGCAACCTATACCAGGGCCTCACCGCCCTCACAGGGAAGAATTTCTTCCCAATATCCCATCTAACCCTGCCCTCTGGCAGAGGGAAGCCATTCCCCCTTGGCCTGTCCCTCCATCCCTTGTCCCAAGTCCCTCTTCAGCTCTCCTGGAGCCCCTTTAGGCCCTGGAAGGGGTTCTCAGGTCTCCCTGGAGCCTTCTCTTCTCCAGGTGAACCCCCCCAGCTCTCCCAGCCTGGCTCCAGAGCAGAGGGGCTCCAGCCCTTGGAGCATCTCCGTGGGCTCCTCTGGACCTGCTCTAACATGTCCACATCCTTCTGATGTTGGAGGCCCCAGAGCTGGATACAGTACTCCAGGTGGGGTCTCCAAGATTTGTTCAGGCCTGTGTGCTGTACTGGCTTCAGCTGTTTGCTTCCCTCTCTACTGTCCTGGAATCATCAGGCTCCAAGACTTCTGCCGTGGGAAGGCTGACGCAAATCCCATCAGAGGCAAGAGAAGCAGCTTTCTTAACCTAAAAGCTAAAAGCTTAGGAAGAACAAATCCAGCAGAGAACAGAGATGCCAGGGTGGGAAAAGCTCTGTTTGCAGTGCAGTGTGATATTTGTACCAGAACAGCTTGGTGTAAACTGGCCATGAGCAGCTTCACACTGAGAATTAGCAGAAGGTTCTTGCAGGGTAGAGGACTGTGGAGCACGAGGGGACCTTGAAGAATGAGGTTTCAGAGAGGATTTTGACAGGTTAGCTGTGAGAACTGGAGGCTGGCTCAGCAAGCTGGCAGTCCTTACCACGGTCTGAATAGCCAGTGCTTAAGAGAATACTTGGTATGAAAAGTGCTTCCAAGCCAGGGAAGCACACTGCACTTTCCCACACACTCCTTCTTGTTTTTTGAGCATAGCAATAAGAATTGAATCTTCTAAAGTAAACCCTGGAGCAGTTGCAACGTGGAAAAACAGTCTCCAGATAGGAGTAGACCTTGGGATTTCTCCTTTCCTCCGCAGCACAACCCTCAGACTGAACTTCAGGCTGGTTCCTCCCCAGGGGGAGGACTTGGGTACCTTGATGCCTTCTCCAATTTCAACTCCACTTGCCTGGGTCCATACATGTGGCTTTCATGTTCAGCAGGAACCTCTTCCTCTGGAAAACATCTGCAGTAAAACAGCTTCACTGCCCTGATGAGCTGGCTCTGAACAAGGACCAGCCCCTTCCTCCAGCTGAGGCACACCAGCCGTGTTTGCCCCAGGGTTTGCTGTGAGGATCACAGAGCTCTTGCCTTCCTCCCTGTCCTGCCCAGCAGATGTGATCTCATTAGGGACACAATGAGCTCTTGGGCTTGAGGTGGAGGCTTGTGGGGGCTGCTGTGCCTGGGACCCCCCCTCCTTTTCTCTGGCTTCTCTGGGGATTGAGTTTCCACTTCATCCCTTCCCTCTTGGAGTCTGCAGGGCCAGCAGGGCCATCACTTCAGGGTCTCATTTTGGAGCAAAAGAGGAGCGTTTGTATTTGGGATAGCCAAGCATTGGCCTCCAGGCACAGAGAGAGTGTGCAGGCCATGTCATGGAGACAGCAGGGCCAGGGAGGTAGAGATGGAAACCCAGTGGCGTTGCATGTGCAGAACCAACCCAGGGAGTCTGGAGCTTGCTGTGCTGCAGAAGGATTTTTATGTTAATTGTCACAGCTCAGGGTATGGTGAAAGGTATTTAGTGATGCTTAAAGGTGCTGCAGAAATCTTTTTTGCTCTTGGACTTGTGCTCCTTTTGAGCTTGGCTTCAAGGTTTCAATATTCCAACAGCAGAGCTGGCACACTGATCTCGGCTGTTGGGAGCAGCTGTGGCTCTTCTGGCTGCTGTGAGCAGATGCAAACTATTCCAAGAGTCATCAGAGAGGGGAAGAAGACTTGTGGTGGTGCTTCCTGATCCAGCCAGGAAGAAGCAGTGCTAGGATCATTCCTGATGTCCTCATATGCCAGCGATTTAAACTGTTCCTGAAAGTGTGGCTTGCCAAACTCTTCCCAGACAGTGTGAAAAATGCTCCCATCTTACAGCAAAGCTGCAGCCCTAAAGGAATGATGAATATTGTTGAGTTCTGCTTAGGCAGGTGTTTCGAGGAGCTGCTGTTTATCCTGTTAAGGGCTTCTTAGTATGCAGGAAGGTGGTGGATTTTTGGCAGCTCAGCAGACTCAGGTGTAGGCTCTGCTTTCTTGGTTGCAGCAAATACCTTACCTGCCTTGGGTCATTCAGATGGGGTTGTCTAGCTGCTGGAGAAGTCTGCCCTGCCTGCCAAAATATTTATCAAAAGCACAGGGATAAATAACCCCCCAGTGTGCTGTGGTGTTGGGAAATGACCTGGCAGCAGGATGTAACTGCCCACGAGCCAAGGCCCTAGGTGCCAGCTGGAAAGCCATGACCAAATGGAGCTCCAAAAGAGCAGGAGGGACAGAGTGTTCTGGTTCCTGTCAGCACTGGATCTTCTGTTCATGGTTTGCTTCATCCTGTGGACCAGAGAAATCCAGTCTGGGGGGTCTTCAGGCTTCTTCAGCAACAGCTTTTTTCCATCAGTGGAGAATAGCAGTGAGTGACACTTCCCTGGCCACCCTGTCACCTGCCTGCACTGGGCTGAGGCCTTTGGCAGTCATGGGAGTGCTTCCAGCAGTTCCTTGTGAGATCCAGCTCCTAAAGCATCTGGGAAGTGTTTCTGGGCAAGCCTGACTTGCACCAACAGTGAACACGCTGATTTCCACTCGCCTTTCAAAGCTTATTGCTGATAAACCTGGTCCAAACCTGCTGCAAGCAGGCAGAGATGGTACTTCCTCACCACCACTGTGGTTATGTGGACAGATCTGTGTGTCAGCTCCTGCTGGAAACAAATTTGGCTTTTGGCAGAGTAAGTGTCCACATGTGCTGCTGGATACAATGACTGGTGATCTCTCTATGTTCCTTGTTCACTCATGTGGAAATTTCTGTCACTGCTGTGCTGAGGGTTGTGCCAATCCCAGTAGTGTGGAACAAAACCAGAATGGGAATGAACTCTGAAAATCAACTGTGAAAAGACCTGAGATGGATCTGGGGATGAGTCCAGTCCTCTTCCACCTCACAGAGAAGCTGTAGGCAGGTTGGGGAGGGAAGGAAGGAAGGCTGTTGTGAGGGGTCCAGGATACCCTTGATCTGAGAAAGCTGAGTGTGGAGCTTTTACTGCATGCTGTGGGAACCTGGGGTACGTAATGGTCACAAAAGGGCTTTGTGAAGCTAAAAATGGAGAGCCATGGAGAGAATACAGTGTTGACAGCCATCTAGGCACTTAGAGAGCAAATTAGGCTGCAAATGGGAAACTGTTCATTTGTCGAGTGGAGGAAATTAAAATTCTGTGCACGTTATTCCAAAGCAGACTTTAAAAAAACCTGACAGATCTTACTTGGAACTGTCTGCAGAGATGGAGCCAGTTCTCTCTGTGTGCATGGCTGAGTGCTATTCTCTCTGGGGGAGCGATGGTAATGACAGAGTGGATTTGGGATGTGTGCTCTGGAAACGTGGTGTCTGGAGCATGCCAGCACCACTTGGAAGCAGTACAAGGTTATCTGGCAGCACCAGGAGCTGGCCAGAGGTTTAGAAGGCTGTGTCCTCCCTCTGCTGAGCTACAGCACAGCTGGGTTGGGCAGGATGGGGACAGAGCAGGGCACAGGCAGCTTGGCCTCGGTGTCTTCTGAACTTTCCTGGACAGTCTTCCCTATAAATGTGCGTGCTGGAGCTGTGGCGTGGCCTGGAGACCCAGCTGGCAGACAGAGTGGCATCTCTTGCTTTTAGAAATTGTGGGCTTGACCTTCCACCCTGCTGAGAACGTGGGGCTGCATTTCTGCTGATGTTTTATCCTTATTCCTATTTAAAGAAGATCCAGGCGGAAGCTGCCAGCAAAGCTCTCTCCTCCTAAAGCATATTCCTGGCAAGAGCAGTCAGCACAAACTAGGTCTTGGGTCTGTTTCTCTTGGCTAAAGGAACTTGTCAATCCAGAGATGAAGGAAGTAGACTTTATTTATCCTGCTGGCCGTTTGTCTTGGAAGGGGGTCATCAAACTCTTTGCTTCGTTGTTTCCTGCCTCTCATTCATTCTCACGCGCGGCCTTGGAAGATGGAAATCAAAACAGATAGAGGAAAAATTAAAAGAAAGCTCAGAGTCTTTTTTTTTTCAATATGCACTTAAAATGTGATGTATCCTGCTAGTAAGTATTTCTAGATGGGGCTCTTGAAAAGCAGCATCTTTGGGTTTGTGGGATGTTTTTAATTATGGAAAATCATTACTTCCTTCTAATTTTTCCTCTCTAAGTGTGGAAGAAACTGACCCTTTTCTCCTCCAAAACAAAAACAACCTCCAATTCTTTCTGAGTGTGACATTTTTGGGCTGTTCTAGAAATGGCACTGCAAAAAAAATGACAAACTCTAGGCATGAGCTCCAGACTTTCTTTGGAGGACACTGAAGATGCTTCTCCCATCCCACAGATACTTTGCCATTATGAAAATGGCAGGTGCCTCAGAACAACCTCAAACCCACACTTGGAAGGGCTCACTCTTCATGTTGGGCTGTCAAACACAAAAGCCAACCCACTACACCTGACTTGCCTTTTGTGCCCCCTCCCCTTCTGTTTTTGTACATTTGAGCCTCTGTGCAGAAGGTGCAGATGTGGAGATGTGGGTGGGACAGGGAGGGCAGAAACAGCAAGTGTTGCCTGGGGAGCACCTACCCTGGGGTGGAAGCACCATGCAGTGAGGTTGGGACTAAAGCTGAAAAATCAGAATTTTCTAGAGTAAGGAATCTGAATTGTTCTAAAATTATAAAATTGGTCAGGCTTTGAGAGCTGCTTATTCTGAAAGAGCTGAGAGAAAGACAGACAAGGTCAAGGCACACGCAGTGCACTGGGGGAAGGCTGCTGTTCCTGTGGGGCAGCAGTGCCAGCTGCAGATGTGACTTCACTGGGAGGATTCAGGTGCCTTCGTGGTTCGGATGCCAGTTTATCACTCCTGTGTGCTCCACATCTCACGTTGCTGATTATTTTTTCATAAATTTGAAGTGTATCAGATACAGGCTGTACAGGCTGCCCCTCACGGGCTTTGGCAGCAGCAGGGATTTTGGGAGGACTGGATAGCTGGTGTTTCCCATCTGTGTAGCACATCTTCCATTTCAGGGAATGAAGGAGCAACTCCACAGATAGGTGAGGGTGCTTTGGTGGTCCCTGACTCTTACCAGGACAGATGATGGGCAGTTTGTCAGCTCCCTCCTTCCCTGGGCTGAATCCAGGCACCTCAAGGACCAGGCTGCCAGCTGAGCCCTTCCTTTGCCAGTTTAAGCTTGTGCTGGGGCCAAACTGGAGGGACAGCTGTTCCTTAGGATACCCCTGATTCAGGGAGGACTGGTTTGCTGAGCTTGCTGCTCAGTGATCTGGTTTGGTTTGCCCTTAGCTTGTCTTGCTGCTCCTGGGTTCCCTTTCATCCAGTGCTGCCTTCCCAGCTGGATTGTCTCCTCTCTCAGCACGAGATCATCTGCTCCTCCCTAGTTCCCATTTCAGGGCATCTTCAACTGCAATTCTGCCAAGTCAGCTTGGAGTGCCTGTTGTCACTTGGAATGTCCTTGATTGGAAAGAAGAGAGTGACAAGAAGTCAGAAAAGTAAGAGGGGGGCTGGAGAAATGCTGCTGCTGAGGACAATTCCCTAAATGCTGTGTGTGCCCAGCCGGTACCGAGCACTGCCTCGTGTGCCTGCAGGGCCAGCACTGCCCTCGTGTCTGTCCTCAGCAATGCTCTGAGTCGAGCAGAGCTCCGTGCTGGGAGATGCTGTGGACCCGAGTGGTGGCCACCAGTCTGGCCATGCTCCTGGGTCCTGCTAACCAGGCTCAGGGTGAGGTGGAGACTCCAAGGAGCTGCTCCTGCCTTGGGTTGTGCCAGTCCTGGGCCAGCACCACTGTGCTGCATCTCCAGAGGTGACTGGGAAGCGAGTCATGGATGTGGGTGGTGTTCAGGGACAATGGAGGTGGAGGTGGGCCTGAGGATGCTGTAGGTACCTCTTGGCAGAAGAAAGGGTCAGTGTGCCAGTGACAGTGGGAGACACCTTCAGCAAAGCCCAGGTGGATCCCAGTCCTGAGAGCTCAGTCCTGCAGAGATGCTGTGGGGCTTACTGGCATCATTCAGCTTTTTCCTTGTCAGCACAGGGCTGACAATGAGACTGTTCTGTAGAGGGAAAACACTCTGAAGAGGAGTGTGCTTGATTAACTCTGTCCTGCCCTGCTGTCTCTCTGCCACTGACTGCAGCTCTTCTGTGTAAGGGGAAAGAAAAAGACTGTTTCTGCCTCAGTGAGCTTGTATCAAATTTGAGACAGGAGAAGGGTGTTTTGCTCCTCCAGATACACAGTCACCAAGGCAGTTCCTGCTCCTGTGTAGAGACTGCAGCTTTGGAAATGATTTGGAGGATGCCAAAGCCAAAACAAAAGTAAAACCTTCCCTAATGACCTGGGAGTGCATTAGCACAGTCCTGTTGTCTCGATTTTTGCCCTATCAGCACACAAATGCTGCAGCTGGAGCAACGTTCTGTCCCTTGCCCTCTTGATTTCTGCACTTGGAGATGGTCTTTTCAGGTATGTCCCCCTCTTTTCATGTTGCCTACTATGAAACCTCCTGATTGCTTCTGATTTTCTTCCACCAGGGAATTCTCTTGGTGTACGACATCACTAATCGCTGGTCCTTCGATGGGATAGACCGATGGATAAAGGAAATAGATGAGGTAAGGGAATGGAAGAACATATGCAGGGATCTATAGCAGAAATTTGGGGAGGTATCACCTGAGGCGTCACCTCTGATATGGGGACAGGAATGGCTCTGCTATGGAGGGAACACAATGGCAGTGCAGTACTGAGCAGAGCAAAGTGATAAGTGCCTGCCCTCCACCTCTGTGTAAATCTGGAGTAGTAGGAAAGGGCTGGGGAATGGTCAAGAAAGGTAGGGAAGTTCCCTCTAAAATCACAGGATCACAGAATGTGCTGAGTTGGAAGGGACCTACAAGGGTCATCAAGTCCAACCCTGGCCCTGCACAGGAACATCCCAAGAGTCACATCCTGTGCCCCAGAGGATCATCCAAACCCTCCTGGAGCTCTGGCAGCCTTGGGGCTGTGCCCACTGCCCTGAGGAGCCTGGTCAGTGCCCAACCACCCTCTGGGGGAAGAACCTTTTCCTGAGATCCAACCTGAGCCTGCCCTGACACAGCTCCAGCCATTCCCTGGCTGCTGTCCCTGGTCCCCCCAGAGCAGAGCTCAGTCCCTGCCCCTCCTCTGCCCCTGCCCAGGAATTGGAACTGCAGTGAGGTCTCCCCTCAGTCTCCTCTGCTCCAGCTGAACCCACCAAGTGCCCTCAGTGTCCTCACACAGCTTCCCCTCCGGGCCCTTCACGAGAGCCATGATTTCTCCACTCCTTTCCCTGTTCCAGCACGCCCCAGGTGTCCCTCGGATCCTGGTGGGGAACAGGCTCCACCTGGCCTTCAAGCGGCAGGTGCCGACGGAGCAGGCGCGGGCCTACGCCGAGAAGAACTGCATGACCTTCTTCGAGGTGAGCCCCCTCTGCAACTTCAACGTCATCGAGTCCTTCACGGAGCTGTCCCGCATCGTCCTCATGCGGCACGGCATGGAGAAGATCTGGAGGCCCAACCGAGGTGAGCAAGGAGGCTGCTCCTGTGGGGAAGGCTGGGCTCACGTGGAGGGATGGGGCTGCCTGGAGGGGGGGTGTTCCTGAGGAACTGTGGGAGCTGAATCCACCTGACAGGGAGAAGTGCCTTGGGCCAGACAAGCTGAAGCTGAGCCACAAGCTGCCTGGACTGGCGCAGGGCTGGGCAGCTCCACAGGGCAGTTCAGCATGTCTGGGATCTGCAGTGCTCTGGGGCATCCTCCACCTTCCCACTCACTCTGCAGGAGGCTCAGGGCAATTATCTCCCAGCTTGAAAGTACTTCAGTCAGACGGCTGTGTGGGACAAATCCAAGCGTAAGCACCTCGGTCCTTGCCCTTGCCTGAGCCTGTCCCCCCTGTTCCAGAGGGAAGCAGAGCAAGCCCAAGGAGCTGAAAGGGACTAAGCCTCCTCCCTACCTTCAGCAGGCAGCAGTGGGCTGGGGGATTCCATGTATCCAGGCACATGGGCTGCAGTGAGGCAAACCACAAGCAGATTTCATGTTGGCTTGAAGAAAGCCTGTTGGCTTTGAAGAAAAATAATCCCAGTTCCCACGTTATTCCTGGCTGGAAGTGTCCCACTGCAGTCTGAGCAGCAGGAGATCTGTGCTCCTGGGGTGACCTACCACCCTCCCATGGATCTTCAGCTCCTGCTCACCAGAGAGGGGGAATCCTGTTCGCCATCCCCAGTCCCCAGATGTTCTGCCTGGGCTCCTGTCCCCGACTGCGGCGCACTTGGCTGCCGTGCCACAGTCTCCAGGTCACCGAGGGATGGTGGGCAGGGAATGTGCTGCATTCACGGACCTTTCCTGAACCTCTTCCAGAGGTTTTGTAACTGTGGGCTGCCTGCTTGGGAACAGATAGGGCAAAAGGAAATGGCCTCAAGTTGTATCAGAGGAAGCTTAAATTGGATATTGGGAAAATGTTTTCCCTGGAAGGGTGGTGGTCAGGCCCTGGTACAGCTGCCCAGTGCAGGGTTGGGGTCACCGACCCTGGAGGTGTTCAAAAGAGGTGTAGATGTGGCACTTGGGCAAGTGGGTTAGTGGTGACCTTGGCAGTGCTGGAGAACGGTTGGAGTGGATAGTCTTAGAGGGCTTTTCCAACCTGAATGATTCTGTGTTTCTATGAATGGGAAGCTGCCTGCTCGGGATCGGGACCGCGTGCTCGGGAACAGCAGCGTGGCGCTGGCGGGCGGGAGGAGGATAACGCGTGCCCTCTTGTGGCCGCTGAATGGGAATTCCCCTCCAAGGAGAGGGACTTCCCAAGGCGGGCTCACATGGTGCAGGCTGAGCTAAGAGGCTGCTGGGAAAAGGGGAAGAGCAGAGTGGTGTTCTGGCTTGGTGGGGTCTCTGTGCCTGGGGGGTTCTGCAGAGAGCTGCTGCTCCCTGAGGAGGTCCCAAGGGACACTGTCCTGTTTCAGGACTTACTGACCCTGTTGCCTCTTCCCTGGGCATGCCCTAGTTGCCAGAGGATGTGCTGAGAAGCCAAGTGTCTGTCAGGAATGTGAGCCAGGCCCTGCCACCCCGGGCACTGAGCAGGGGAGGGCTGGCAGTGCCTAACCCTGTGTTGACACCAAAGCTGGTGTCTGGCAAAGCAAAAACCTCCAACAGCAAAGCTCACCTTGATTGCCCAAGCTTTTTTCCTAACCAACCTGCTCCCTAATAAAAGCTCCTATGCAGTAATTCTTGGCATATCTCCCTGAGGAGCTGGAGCTGTGCAGCGTAAGGAAGGAATAGCTGTGGGATGAGGGCAGCCCAGGAAATCTCTTGGCCCTTGACTGTGTGGTCCTTTCTCCCACAGTGTTCAGCTTGCAGGACCTGTGCTGCCGAGCCATTGTGTCCTGCACCCCAGTGCACCTCATCGACAAGCTGCCCTTGCCTGTCACCATCAAGAGCCACCTGAAGTCCTTCTCCATGGCCAACGGGATGAACGCGGTGATGATGCACGGCCGGTCGTATTCCCTGGCCAGCAGTGGGGGCGGGAGCAGCAGCAAAGGGAACAGCTTGAAGAGATCCAAATCCATCCGGCCGCCCCAGAGCCCCCCACAGAACTGCTCACGCAACAACTGCAAGATCTCTTAGCAGGATGGGCACCGGGAGCTTCTGTCGGATCCGCACCCACCCACCGATGTACAGCTGTTTGCACACCCAGCCCTTTCCCACTGGATCCTTTCGGATGGGTTGCTTTTCCAATGGCACGCACAAGCGTTAGGAATGTGCTCACGTTTTGGCTTGGCATAGGAAGAAGCGTGGTGCCGGCTGGATCCCGCAGCGCTGCCGGAGAGAGGATCTGCCAAGTGACCCTCCAAGAATGCTTTGGGCTTTGCCTCTCGGCCTGGGGTGGAAAATTCAGCAGCTGCCGGGCTGGGGAGGGGGGAAGGGGAAAAAAAGCTCATCAAGTCTCAATGGAGCAATGGATTTAATGGAAGATTGAGAGGCTTAAGGGAGTAGGCAAGGAGAGTCTGTGCTGCAACTTTAACTCTTGGCCTCCTGAACAGATTGCTGGTGCAATAGTGATCCTTGGATGTAGACAATAAGAAACAGGGACAGGGGAATAATGACAGTTTTCACCGGGATGTTCACCTGCTGTTGCCAAAAAAACCAGAAAACAAGGCAAGAGTTGGCCAATTGGAAAGGGGAAGGCAGCGCTCGCTGCCTTCGCTTATTTATGTAAATATTATACATATATATATATATATCACTTGTTTTTTAAGGGTTTTTTTAAGAAGCTGTCAGGGAAAATTTTATGCAGCCATGTAAATACAAGCACTGGATGGACTTTCCCAGTGTCAGCAAAGGGGAGAAGTGGAGGATTTTCTGATGAAAACACATAAATGCTTTAAGAGACTTTCCCTCACCCCTGGGCTCGTGGTGGCGTTTTTAAATACTATGTGTGCAGAAGGAAAGGACAATTCGTGTGGAACATGCCCCAAGCTGCTTTATTCCAATCACTCCCTAAAACTTGTGAGTGCTGATGCAGGGTGGGATGGGAGTGGATAGAGGGGCAGAGTAGAGAGGCCAGGGTCCTGGGGGCTGGGGTTTTTTGGCAGGCAGGAGGAAGAGGCAGCTCTGGGGTTAGACCGATGCCTTGCTCGCTTTGAGCCTTCTGGTTGGGGATTTGGGAGCAGGGGGTGGAAGCATTGTACCTAAAGCAGGGAAAAATGCTGAATTTTGTCCCTTATTGCTGCAAAACTTTGGCTGTTGCTTCCAATGCCCTCCATCCAGGACACTACCCCGTGTGACAGCCCCTGGATTCTGGCTGCTTCCAGCTTTGCTTTCCCAAAGATGCTGCCTGAGGTTGCACTGCTGTGGCTCCTCCTGGATGAAAGTGGGAAAGGGCAGAAGTGGCTTTTCCCACTGGAGCGTGAAGGAGCAGGGACTAGGAAGGTGAAAGGTTGGGGTGGGGAAACAGCAATCCCCAGGTCCCTTAGTGGCAAAGTCACTCAGTTCTTGGGGTAGTCCCAGAAGATCAGGAGAGCAAACTGCTTTGCTCCATAGGACAGCTCCTGGGTTTTGAAGGGGCAAGAGCTTGGGATGGATCTTCTGTCAAGCGAGTGCACCTGCTTTCCTGGCTTCATCCCACGGCTGACCTGTGCTGGGAATTCACCTGGAAGCTGAGAAATAATGCCCAGCCCTTACCCCAGAAGCTCAGGGGGTTGGCAGTGGGGCTGAGCTGTGGCGGCAGATTCTCCTGGGTGGCCGGGGTGTGTGGACTGTGAGTACCATGGTAGGAAGTGAAGTGTACAGTGCTGCCATCCTGCTCCTGGGATCAGCAGCTCCTCAAGGCCTGGGCTGGCTCCGCTCCCCCTCCCCAAGCCGCTCGTTGCACTGTGTGGGCAGGATGAAGCCGCAGCAGCTCCTGTGCGGCCGACAGACCCGCCAGACCCGCCGTGTCCGGGCTGGACACGTCCCCCCGCGGGGACATTGCCTTCCCTCGCTCCTGAGCCCACCTGGGAGGTGCTGGAGCCTTCCCCCTCCCCTCTGCAGAACACAACAGGGGCAGGTCTCTTGGCTCAGCTTTATCTCTGCTTTATCACCCAGCTCAAGTGAGCGGGGAGAGAATTAAACCCCAGGCAGGCGGAGGGGGAGAAGAATCCTTTGTAGTGGTGCTTTGGCTCGAGAGCAAAGCCGGGGCCGGGCCCGGCGCGGTGGCACAAGGCCGGGGGATTTGGAGAACCTGTCTGGGCTGGCTGGCACCTGTTTCCCATCACTTAACACACAGCAGAAGACAATCGCTGGCTCAGCAGCCCGGGGATATACGGCCAACAGGTGACGGGCACCAAAACTGACGGCTTCTCCTGGGAAACACGGCCCGGGCACTGCAGGGCCCCGGCTGCTCCCGGCACCGGTGTGTGGGGCAAAGAGGGATGGAGGGCTCCTTCCTGAAACCACCAAGCTGCTGCATGTCTCAAAACTGGCTGTACCTCTGCTTTGGTTTGGCTGTGCCACGTGTGCCACCTCCCCACACCGTTTCCCTGTGGTTGGTTTGGGTTTTGCCACCCTGTAAAGTCTCACGGATCCTGTCTGGAGTGAGGATGGATGATTTCCCTGGAGTGATTGCCCAGCAACAAACTTTTTTTATTTTTTAATTTAAAAGGAAAAGATGCTTGCATCTGATGTCAACACTAGTCTGTAGCTGCTCTCCAACACTTGTACCATTCCTGAGTTGGTTTTTTTGGACTATCCTTTTATTTTTTTATTCCTTTGTACAGTCAGTGTTGTTCAACTGATTCTACATGGTTTTGTTTTGTATAAATTAAAGTCTTTTTGTTTGTTTTGATCTACCAATTGAAAGGTGGAGAAGTTGTATCTAGTTTTGTGTGGGCTGGGAAGAGGTTGAAGGGAAAAGGTGGCAGTTTGCCTGTACCTGGGGATTTGGGGCTGCTTCTAGTGCAGGGGTGTATTGCCACTTCCAGGTCATCCACAAAATAACTCAAATTACATTTTCTGGGGAGTCTTCACAATCATGATTCCTGGCTGTGGTGGCTTTTTCCCTTTTCTGTACATGCAGAGGCTAAATCTCTTCTTGATTCTCACAGATTTGGGGTAGTGAGCTCTAAGAAAACACAGAATCATTTCCAACACAGTTGGTCCCGTAGGTGGCTGGAGAAAACTAGGCTCCCCAGCAGCTTGCCAGGAATTGTGCTCATCCCTGCTCCACAGGGACAGGTTTGCAAGTAGTCAAAGCCTTAAATCCCTTCTTTGAGTCCAGGTGATCCTGGGGGAGCCGTCACCCATCCTGCCCAGACTGGAGCAAGCTGGAGGCCATCCTGGGATAAATGTGACTGAAACGGAGAGGATGCAGCACCAGTGTCACGTCAAGGTGGCCCTCGGAGGCACTGGGAGCCCCAGAGAAAGGGGATTTGCTCCTGGGGTTGAGGGAGACTTTTTGTCTGATCCTTTTTTTCCCAGCCCACCTCCCCTTGACCTCCCTTTTCCCCTGCATTCTCACTTCCCTAGGATCAGATTTTCCACTTCGTACCAGACTGGCCACGCTTGTTTTAACGGCTTAAGTAGTAATTGCTGGGGCTGGGAGGGGGCAGGGGGAAATGAGATCGTGTCTGCAGCCTGGAAAACCCTGGAGCTAAGGTGAAAGCCTGGTCAGGGAAGAGCCTTTTTTTTCCCCTTTTTTCAGGAGGTTCTGGAAGTGTCTGTTGCCTCTTGCAGGGCTAAAACAAAGGCTGTGTGTGGTTTCAGGTGGGGCAGGGACAGCCGGAGCCCATTACGCCAGAGCAGCGGGGGCTGCCTGGGCCACAGCTGTCTGCCTGGGAAGAGCAGGGCAGGAAAACACTGCACAGCCTCAACGTGGTGGGAAGGCTGGGAGAGCTTCAGGGCTCCGTGGAGAAGGAGGAGGGAGCAGGTTCCTCTGGGGTGATTCAGGTCTTTCCTCACTGAGTGTGTTTCTCCACAAACACCTTCCCCATTTGAGGTGTCTTGGGTTGGTCCCACTGTCCCTCACAGGCTGGGAAGAGGTGGTGACCTCCATCTGACTGCAAAATGCTTGAAAATGTGGGTGCGTGTCCCCACGGGTGTGTTAGAGGGGCAGGAGTCCCCTGGGTGCAGGGGTCATTGGAGGGGGACACATGGCACTGCACCCTTCCTCCGGGACACAGTGCTGAGCTGCTCTCTTGTCTTGAAGGGAGAAGATGAACCATAACCTGGGATGAGCTCAGTTGGTTAAAACTTGGTCCTAATAATGTCAAAGTCATGGGTTCAATCTGTGTAATGGGTCATTCACTTAAGGGTTGGACTTGATGATCCTTGTGGGTCACTTCCAACTCATAATATTCTGTGATAAAACTCACATCTGTGTCTGGGATCTTTGACAGGGACACCAAAAATCCTGTTTTCGGGTGCCATGGCTGCTTGGACATTTGGAGGTGAACAGTTTAGGGGAGACTGAAGTTACAGCTGCTTCATTGAGACGGTGAAAGTATCGTGGGCTTGGTCATGTTTAGGAGAGTCACTTTGTCCTTCATCTTCAGCTGACGAATCACTAGAAGAGGCTGGGTGGGTGTGAGGGTCCCAAGCTGGGTGGGGGTCCCCAGGGGTGGGTGAGGATCTCAAGTAACTGGGAGCTGCATTTCCAACCACGCAGCACTGGCATCTCTCTGTCCAGTGCTGCACCACTGGGGTGAAGGTTCCCTGCCACTGCTTGTCCGGCCTCACGGCCTTTGGTCTCGGTGACACAGGGATTAGATGTCTTGGGCTCTGGTGTGAAACACGTGCCACCCTCAGGGCTGCTCCTCTGGCTCTGGAGAGGGGCCGTGGGGCAGGAGCTGACCCAGACCCCAGCACCACCATCGTGCTGTGACCACACAGAGCCCAGCCTGTGGGTGGGTGAAAGCTGGGCTTCAGCTTTGCTGTTCCCTCCTGCACCAGCACCCTTGGGAGGACTCTGGGGCACCCCGAAGTGGCTCTGTAGCCCTGGGCTGCATCACCAGGGAGCAAGGGGCCCTGCAGCTGCCACACTGCTTCCCAGCTGGAGCAAGGTGGGTTTGTGGGTCAGGGATCTCCAGGCAGCTGGTGGCTGGGGTGGGTTGGGTGGGTCTGGGGGTCTCCGGGCTGCCAGGGTATGCAGGGTATAGCCCCCAGCAGCTCCTAGCTGGACTATCCTGATGCGATTCCCTGTTTGCTAAACATCAGCCTTCCTGAAAGTGTCCCGGGGCAGCAGAACCTCCCCTTGGCAACCATGGCTGGAGGGACCCTTGGGTGGCTGCTGGGCTGTGAAACTGGGGATCCCAGGCACAGCTATGGGACACACTCCAGCCCTCCAGGTGTGGTTGTGGCCAGCTGGTGACAGACCTGACTGTGTTTTGGGGGTTTTGGGCCCCAGGGAGCCCCAGCATTGCCCTGGGCAGCCGAGAGCCCCCGGCAGCACAGCCGATGATGAGCCCGGGCAGGGAGGTGGCAGCGCTGGCAGGTCACTGTGCCAGGGCACTGCAGCTGCACCCTGCTCACACCAGCGTGGGGGTGTCAAGGGCCCCCCCAAATCGTCTGGTCTGGGGCAAAAGGGGTTCCCCGAGGAGCTGCACACCGGGGGGAGCACCAAACCATTACATGCAAAAGCCCCTCAGGGGTGTGGGTGAGTTGGATTCCCCACCAAAACAAAAACCGAACAAGAAAGGGCTCCCCTCCTTTTTTATGTCTCCTCCACCACCTGCCCCCCAAGAGGAGAGGCTGGAGGTGTTGAGCTGCTCCCCCGGGGCAAAACCCCCTCGGGTTTGCTGTTTCACAGGGGCTGCAGACCCCCCTCGGCTCTGAGGCTCTCACCAGAACCGGAAGAGTTAATGCTCCCAAAATGCCATGAAATGTTCCTGCTGCAGGTCAGTCTCCAGCGGGGATTAGGGGGATCTGGCCGGGGAGCCGAGGCCGGCTCCTGGCAGCTCAGGGCCGGTGCGGGACGTGCTGGTTGAGCTCAGGCGCAGTCTGCCGGGTCTGGTCTGGCTCAGAGAACAGCCTGGCTGTAAATCAGCGGGGAGGGAGGGCTGGGAGCCCCAGGGAGAGTGCCTCCAGTTTGGCTGGGTGGGTACCCAGCCCGCGGGGCGAGCCAGGGTCCTGTGCCGGCAGCGCGGCGCTCGTGGGATGCCGGCTGGGGAGCGGGGATGGATCCGTGCCGCTGCCGGGATCCCGCTCCTGGGCACCTTTGGCTGTGGTGCCAGTGGGTGCCCAGGGCGAGGTGCGGGGTGCGGGGCTCCTGGGCAGCCCGATCCCGCAGCGTGGGCTCCCCGTGCCTCCCGCCGGCCGCCCCGTCCCACCGGACTGCAGGCTCTGCCTGTTTTCTCATCCTGCAGGAATTCGGCTCCGTGGGCCGAGCGGGTTTTCGTGTGTCCCCCCCCCTCTCCCTCTCTTCACTCTCCCTCTTTGGAGACTTTCTGCATTCTGCCTTTGATCTCCCCCCGTGTTTGCCCAGGGATCGCCGGGCTCGCCGGGGTTAGAGGCTGAGGTCAGCGCCTTTCCCATTCCAAACACCCAGAAACATCAGTGGGAAGGGAGGGGATTCAGATTACAACCTTCCCGTCCTCCCCTTCCACCCCACTCGCCCCGCTCGCCGCGCCGGGGATGGACTGAGCCCCGGGGACTCCCGCCGTTGCCACCGTGTCCCCGAGAGCCGCGCGGCGATGGATGGAGGGCGGCGTTGCCGGGGGTCCGGTGGGCGCCGGCCGCGCTGAAGGGCAGAGGTTTGGTCCTCTCCTCCTCCTCCTCCTCCTCCTCCTCCTCTTTGTCCCCCCGCCTGCCCGCCTTCCCCCTCATTCCCTCCGTCCTGAATGTGATTTATCCCGAGCCCTCGCCAGCGAGCCAGGCCGGCGGCGCGGGGTGGCCCGATGGCTCCTCGTGGGGGTCGCGGGGCCCGGGACCAGCGCACGGGTGGGCGGCAGCGGGGCCCCGTGGGCATCGCGCTGCTCCTGCCCGTGCTGGCGGCGGCGGCCGGGCTGAGCCTGCAGCCGGGCAGGACGCGGCACCCGGGCGTGTGCCCCAACCAGCTGAACCCCAACCTGTGGGTGGACGCGCAGAGCACCTGCGAGCGGGAGTGCCAGGCAGACCAGGTGAGCGGGGGGCTGCGGCGGCAGAGGGAGGTAACAGCTTTTGGGGAGCATCCCCAGGTCCCCGAGGAGATGTTTGGGGTGTGGGTCCTGTGCCCGGTGGCACAGCTGGTTCAGTTGTTTCGGTGCAATCAGCCCGGCTGCAGCTCTGCCCCCCAAGCCCCTGCTGGCATGAGAGGTGCCCCAGAGATGCTCCCCAGTGCCCCACAGGTAGAGAAACTGCTTATTGCCCCCACATGCCTCCCCCTCAGGCCATGCCCCTTGGACGGGATCCCCTGCCCCACCCAGCCATGGTGTGCTGGGACGGGGATCCCATCAGGCAGAGGACAGAATCAATCCCCTCCCAACTTTTCCCTGAGGGCAGGAGCACACCCACGAACTGGGCTGCCCATCCCAGAGAGCCCTGGCTCTGGGCTCCGCAGTGGTGAGCAGGACCCCCACCACGGTTAGGGCTACCCAGACCCAGGATGGGGAGACTCCTTCACAATTCATCTGTGTAACGAGTTCTGCCTCCCCTCAGCCAGCAAAAGCTGAGAGGGGCAAGATGCTGTTTGCTTTGGGGGAGAAGGGCCCGTCATCACTGCAGTGCACCCCTAAACATCCTGGGGGTGCTGAGAGTGGGCTGGGGACGGTGCAGCGGGCTGGGGAGGTTTTAGGCTCTTACCCAGAGCCCAGCAACGCCAAAGGTGCACGGAGCTGCACGGGGGACACCTGCCCACCCAAAAGTCCCAGAGGGGTGGGAACAGCCCCCACAGTCACAGCACAGCAGTGACCTCCATGTCCTCCCCACAACCTCCTCTCCCTCCCTGGCCAGGACTGTGAAGACTTTGAGAAGTGCTGCACCAACGTGTGTGGGCTGCGGAGCTGCGTGGCCGCGCGCTTTGCCGATGGCAGCGCCCCGGCGCTGGCCCTGGCACCCGCTGCGTCCTGCGAGAGCTTCGTGTGCGCCCAGCAGGGCTCCGACTGCGACATCTGGGATGGGCAGCCCGTCTGCAAGTGCAAGGACCGCTGCGAGAAGGAGCCCAACTTCACCTGCGCCTCCGATGGGCTCACCTACTACAACAAGTGCTACATGGACGCCGAGGCGTGTCTGCGCGGCACCCGCCTCACCACCGTGCCCTGCAAGCACATCTTCACCTGGCCCGACACCAGCCCGGTGCCGCAGGAGACCACGGCGCGCCCCACGCCCGGCGCCGGCCCCGAGGTGCCGGTGCCCCCCGCCCTCTACACCAACCCCTTTCACCAGTCCGTGCGCGCCGGGGGCACCGTCAGCTTCCGCTGCGATGTTAGCGGGCGCCCGCGGCCGGACATCACCTGGGAGAAGCAGAGCGAGCGCGAGGAGAACTTCATCATGCGGCCGGACCAGATGTACGGCAACGTGGTGGTCACCAACATCGGCCAGCTGGTCATCTACAACGCCCGCCACGAGGATGCCGGCATCTACACCTGCACGGCCCGCAACGCCGCCGGGCTGCTCCGCGCTGACTTCCCGCTGTCTGTGGTCAGGCGGGAGCCAGGGGGGACCCCGCGGGCCAGCAGCCCCCAGCCCTTCCCCAGCACCGAGTGCCTGAAGGAGCCGGACCGGCGGCGCTGCGAGGCCATGGAGGTGCGCTGGCACTTTGATGCCAAGCAGGGCTCCTGCCTCACCTTCCGCTACGGCGGCTGTGGGGCCAACAGGAACCACTTTGAGACGTACGAGGAGTGCCGAGCTGCCTGCCTGGGCAGCGCCCGCCCCACCTGCCTGCTGCCCATGGTGCAGGGGCCCTGCCAGAACTGGGAGCCGCGCTGGGCGTACAACCACCTGCTGAAGCAGTGCCACTCCTTCGTCTATGGCGGCTGCGAGGGCAACACCAACAACTTCGAGAGCAAGGAGACGTGTGAGGACGTGTGCCCCTTCCCCAAGAGCCTGCAGTGCAAGGCCTGCCGCCTCAAGAGCAAGATGGTGCTGAGCCTCTGTCGCAGCGACTTTGCCATCGTGGGCCGGCTGATGGAGATCGTGGAGGACCAGGACTCTGGCATTGCCCGCTTTGCCCTCGAGGACGTCCTTAAGGATGAGAAGATGGGCCTCAAGTTCTTCAACATCAAGTACCTGGAGGTGACCTTGACCGACATGGACTGGAGCTGCCCCTGCCCCAACATGACAGCGGAGGACGGGCCACTGATCATCATGGGCGAGGTGCACGACGGCATGGCCACGCTGGACCCCAGCAGCTACGTCCGGGCAGCCAACGACAAGCGTGTGAAGAAGATCTATGAGCTGATGGAGAAGAAAACTTGCGACCTCCTGAACCGCTTCCAGGACTAGGGGAGAGCCAGGATGTGCCAACAGGGGGAGCTGCAGACACGCCATGGAGGGGGCAGCCTGGGGAAGCCCCTGCATCTGAGGTTACCACCATCATGTAGTTCCCCCCAGCCTCATGCTGAGCCCCAGACCAGCTCCCATCTCCCCTGTAATTTATCTGCTGCATGCCCCCCTCTTGTGTGCCCCCCAGCCTGGCCAGCAGCAATAAGGAACTGGGTTGGGTTGCAAAGGGGTGGGAGGTCTGCCAGGACATCCCTCCTCCCCATAAAAACTTTCCCACCTCATTGAAGCCTCTGGACCCAGTGTAGCATCCCCAGTGCAGAATCTGCCACCCCATTGGTGCCAGGAGTGGGCTGGAGATCCTCCCCCCTCATGCTGGCACTGAAAGCATCAGAGAGCTGCTGGGTCGGGGGGAGCCAAAACCACAAAGTTTATTGGGGGGAACAGCACAGTCCTGGGAAAGGGGGAAGGATGATGGGCCCCCTGCCATTAGCACAGCATCCTAGGAGCAAACTGAGCAAGAAGTCTCCCCCATACCCAGGGGTGCTGTGCCCCCGCTCCCACACCTGTGCCCCCCATGCCTGTCCTCCTCTGGTCCAGGCTGTGGCACTCTGCTGCAAAGGGAGAAGGCACTGGGGGAGATGGACCCCCCAGCCAGGCCAGCCCCAGCTGGGGCGTGGCACTGACCCATCACTGCTGCCCCAGATGGCGCCTGTGGGGGGACGTTGGGACCCCTCGAGGAGGCAGCAGTGGGGGCAGTGCCAGGAGGTGCTGGAGGTCGGGGCAGTTACAGCTTGCGGAAGATGAGGCTCTTGTTGTTGGCCGGCATGTCCACCTGGGGGCAGAGCCGGGGGTCAGGGGGCGCCCACTGGTCTGGGGACCCCCCCCAGACCCCGTCACTCACCATCCTCTCCAGGCGCAGCCCGTTGGCCTCGGCCAGTTCCCGCAGCAGCGCCGTGTCCCGCAGGCCCCAGGCGGGATTCCTGCGGGGAGGGAGGCTGGGTCAGGTCAGACAGATGGACATCGGGGAGGGAGGAGCGGGTCAGACAGACAGACATCGTGTCCTGAGGCATCCCCATCTCCCGGGGGTGCCCTGGGGTGTGGGGGCTTCCCCCAGATGCTGCTTATCTTGAAGGACCACACTGGGAGGGAGCTTCCTGCAGCTGCAGGAGCACGGATGGGCAGGACAGACACCACGGGCAGGACAGACAGGACAGGCCCCCAGCAGCCTGGGACCCCAGCCCCCTCCTACCTCTGCCTCAGGCTGCGGTCAAAGTCCACGTTGCTCTGGGGGCTGATCTGTCCGTCCACGGCGTAGGGCTGGTGGGACAGGGAGCTGGAGCTGCAGGCTGGAGCCATCCTGTGTCCCCCCCAAGCGCCCCCTCCCTGGGCTGCTGTCCCCACCATGCACAGAAGCCAAGCAGGAAGAGCCGTGGCCCCCAAGAGGCACCACGGGTCCCATCACTCTCTGCGAGTCCTGTCATCCACCTTGGGTCCTGTCACCCACTACAGGTCCCATCACCCTCCACAGCCCCCCCCCCACTCTGCCTTGGATAAGGCAAGGGAGATGAGCATCTTTCCCATCAAAAACTGCCCCATCCAGGGCTCAGCATGTGCCCCAAAAGACAGAGACTCCCTAAACCCAAGCTCTCCCCTTTCCCGCCCCCTCCCCAAGCCATGCCTGGAGCTGCCCTCCCATCTGCCACCCCCCAGCATTCCCAGTGATGCCGTGCCCTGCAGATGCTCCCACACCAGGACAGTGACCCACCCCATAGGTGAAGAGCACTCCTCCAGGCTTCAGCAGCACCCCAGCACCCTTGAACAGGCCCTGGGGAATCAGAGAGGTGGGGACCAGGTCAGAGGTCTGGGGACACCCCCTGGGACCCCCTCCTCGGCCCTGGCACTGTCAGACCAGGGGACAGGGCCTGGGGGAGGGCTGCTCACCTGGGTGCAGCGCAGCTCCGCGATGTGCATCATGTTGATGCTGACAAGGAGGTCGAGGGAGGCGGGCTGGGTGCCCCCCCACGTCTCCCAGCCCTGCGAGACGTCCACCACGATGGGGGGCAGCAGGTTGGGCAGCCCCGTGGCCTCCACGTAGGCAGAGATGCTGTGGGCACCAAACCCCACCTGAGCCCCAGCCGGGCATTGCTTGGTCCTCCCCCCCCCCGTGCATCCCTCCAGCACCCGCTACAGGCACAGGCAGAACTCCTGGATGGTGTCTGAGGAAGTTGTGGGTGCAGCACAGCTGGGGGGTCTTTGCTCCCCGATGGAGAACTGGCAGCACCTGGACAACCAGCAGCACATGGATGGAGAGGCCCCATTCCGGAGCAGCCTGTGCTCCTGCCTGCCTGCACCCCCCCGGTACCACTGCCCCAGCACCGCCAGATTTTGGTGTGATTTACACCCTTTTTGGCACATTCACCACCCAGGTCTTGGCTCTGCAGCCTCACAGGGCAGTGGGTGCTGCTGGGTGGGCAGGACACAAACCCCCCTGGACAGGCGCCGATTCCGGCACCTCCCCACAACGTTTATTTTTTTCCATGGGGAAAAGATGGATTTTGGGACTTTCCTGGAAAAATAAAGTCCTGAGCTGGGGAGCCTGGTTGGATATTGGAATTTACTGAAAAAAAATATAGTGAGTATTGGGAAGCCTGGGATGGGCAGGAGTTGAATATTGTGGTTTGCCTGGAAAAAATAAAGTGTCAAGCAGGGAAGCCTGGGCTGTCCAAAGGGTCTTTGCTGGAAAAAAATTCACATCAAGCTCATCTGAGAGCAGGATATTGGAGTTTTCCTGGAAAAAATACAGCACTGAGCAGGAGAGCCTGAGCTGCCAAAGGGTTGGATATTGGATTTTTCCGGGGAAAAAAAAGATAAAGTGGGGAGCCTGGGCCCACTGTTGAGTGGGTCTGTTCTGGAAAGAATATCCATTTGACAGCTGGATATTGGGGTTTTCCTGGAAAAAACACAGCACAGAGCAGGAGAGCCTTGGCTGTCCCAGAGTTGGAGCTGAGGTTTTTCCTAGAAAAAAATGAAGCGGGGAGCAGGGAACCCGGGCCGCGGGTCTGTGGGAGGGGGCTGCAGGCAGGCAGTGCCCCGGGCCCCCCAACCCTCCGGGCCCCCTCACCTGCGCAGGGCCCAGGGGTCGATGTCCGAGGGCTGCCAGCGCGTGTGCGGGAGGGCGCGGGCGAAGTGCGCGGCGTGGAGCCCCGCACCCGCGCCCACCTCCAGCACCCGCAGCGCCGCCCCCGCGGGGGCTCCGCGCCCCGCGCACTCCCGCAGCACCGCCAGGATCGGGCCCTTGTTGCGCTCCGCGGCCGCCGGCACCTCCATGGCCGGGCTGGGAGGGGATGGGGGGGAACTACAGCTCCCGGCACCCCCGCGGGACCGGCCCACGGGACCGCCCCCACGGCCGCGGGTGGAGCTTCCACGGCGGGGTGGGTGGGGAGAAAAAAAAAAATAGAAAAAGGAAGGAAAAGGTTCCTGCGCCGCCCGGGAATCGAACCCGGGTCGCAAGAATGGGAATCTTGCATGATACCACTACACCAGCGGCGCTGCCGGCAGCGCTCCCGCCCCGCCGCGCCTCGGCCTCGGCCACACGCGGGACCCCGGGGGCCGCTGGGCCCTGCAGCTCACCCACCATGTATTCCCACCCTGTCCCCCCCAACAAGAGCGAATTGGGGCTCTGCGTGGACACCTCAGGAAATTGGGGGTGAGTGGGGAACCACCCCTGCTGTGACTGCTCCCACTGATGATGGAGGTCTGGAGGGATCCATCTGGAGCACAGGGATTTGGGGTTCAGCCCTTCTGAGCATAGAAAAGCTCAGAGATGTGCCCACAGGCACTGACAAACCCCGGGCAGGTCTCAAGTGGGGAGACTGAGGCACAACCCCTGCCGGCTGACAGGGCAGGTGACAACCAGCGGTGGTGTCCCCACGGGTCCGGTTGTATTTAGGCACGGTAATAGGGTTGGGGGAGTCATGTGGATGTGACCGTGCTGGGTGCACCCCTGAGGGTGAGCCAGGGGCGTCTGGCACCCACCAGGGTCAGGCACTGCTGTGCTTTTTTGGGGGGGCACCCTCCTGCACCCTTCCCTCCCTGGCCACCACCGTGGACACATGGCGGAAAGGCAAAGGTCACTCTCGTGGAGTGGCTTTGCAGCACCTGGAGCTGGGATGGAGCATTCAGGAGACCCCAGTGGGTTTGTCACATGGCCTCTCCCCAAACCCTGGCTGCTGTCACCAGCCAGCCCCGGGGGGGGAGCCGGGGAACAGCTCCGGGTCATGTGCCGGGTCTGCACCTCCCACCACGTGGGGACACCTCGGCGGGACCTCCCAGCTCCAAAGGTCACCGTGGCGGCCGGGACGCGGCCCCCGCTGCGGCTTCCCGCGCTGGTCATGGGATGTGCGGCTCTGGGCTCGTCACAGCGCTGTCCCCACGGCGGTGGCACCTCAGCCCCTGCCTCTGAGCCCCCTCGATGTCCCCTGCCTGGGCCCTCTGTGTCTCAGGAGTGACCCCTACGTGTCCCCTGTGTGTGCATGGCTCCCGTGTTCCATCTCCTGAACGTCCCCGTTCAGGTCCTCTCCGTGTCCCCCGCGTGCCTGTGCCACCTTGTGTCCCACGTGCCTCCTGTGCCTTTTCCCCTACTTTGACCCCTGTGCGTCCCAGTGTCCCTTGTGTGCATTCTATATGTCCTGTCTGTGTCCTGTGTCTCCCACATGTCCCACATGTACTCTGTGTCCCACGCATGTCCCCATGTGTTCCCCATGTGTTTCCTGTGTGCCCTCCACATCCCACGCGTGCCCTTGATATGTCCTATGCATGTCCCAAGTGTGTCCCCACATCCCGTGTCCTTTCCTTAAGGTCCCTGTATGTGTCCCATGTATGTCCCCACACGTGCCCCAAACGTGTCCTGCACATCTCCCTTGTGTGTCCTTGCACCCTATGAGCCCCCATGTGTCCCCCCACGTGTACACCCGACATGTCTTGCGTGTTTCCCCTGTGCGTCCCCACGTCCCACGCACGCCCCCAGTGTATCCCCTGAGTGTCCGCTGTGTGTCCCCACATCCCCTGTCTGCCACCAGCGCCCCCCATGTGTGTGCCCGGTGTGCCTTGCACGTGTCCCTTGTGTCCCCTGCACCTCCCACGCGTGCCCGTGATGCGTCCCGCGTGTCCCCTGTGCGTCCCCACATCCCACGCGTTCCACCTTGTGTGTCCCGTGCGTGTCCCCTACGTGTCCCCCCATGCCATGCACGTCCCTCACACACCCCGCATGTGTCACATGTGTCCCCGCACACCTCCCACGTGTTCCCGCGACGTGCCCCGCGCGTGTCCCACGCCCCCTCCCCGCACACCCCCAGCCCCTCTGCGCGGTCCCCCGCCCCACGCGCGCCCCCCGCGCGGTCCCTTTAAGCGCGGGGGCGTGTCGCGGGGCCGCCCGGCCCGGCCCGGCCCGTTAAAGGCCCCGGAGAGGGGCGCGCTCGGCAGTGGTGCGGGGGCGCGGGGCCGGTGAGGGGCCGGTGCGGGCCCGCAGGATGTACACGCTGACGCGCGGGCCCAGCAAGCTCGCCACGCAGCGCCGCACAGGTACCGGGGGGCGCGGGGCCCGGGGGGCGCGGGGGGCTCCGTCCCGCCCCGCGTTGCCCCCTGACGCCCCGCGCCCCCCGCAGGTCCCACGCAGCAGGCGGTGGAGAGCAGCAAGCTGGGCGAGCTGCGGGGGCGGCCGCAGCCCGGAGCGTGGCCCCCCGCCAGGTGAGCGCCGTGACCTTGGGAAGGGGACCGGCCGGGGCGGCCGGGCCGTGACCTTGGGGAGGGGAGCGGGGCTGCCGGGCCGCCCGGGGGGCCGCGGGAGGGGGTCCCGGTGCCGCTGCCCGGCGCGGGGGTCGCAGCCGTCCCGGTGCCCGCCCGGTCCCGCGCAGCGAGAACACGCGTGGCGTGGGCCGCCCCCCGGGGGGGACGCCGGGGCTGGCGCTGCTCCTCCTTCCCGGGGGCTGTCCCCAAAAACCGCGGGGAGTGGGAGCGATGGGGTCACGCCAAGGAGGCGGCGCGGGGGGGTCCCGGCGCAGGGCAGAGCCGGGCCGGGCTGGGCTTGTCCGACCCCCCCGCGCCGGCCCCGGGCACGGCCCCGATTGCACAAACCGGCGGCGGGGCCAGTGCCGGCCCCGCTGTGGGACCGCCCGCCCCGGGCCGCGGCTCCGGCCACGCCACGCACCCACGCGGGACTAGCCTTGCCCCTTGCCCCTAAGGTGTGTGCGAGGGGACGCTTTGGGGTGACTCCCAGCGTCCACCAGCGGTACCTGGAGCTGTCGGGTGGGTGCCGGAGGGGATTCCAGCGCCTGCCGGGTGATGATGGATCTATCCCTAAGGAGACCCTTTCCTGGCTCGATGTCTGGGGGCAAAGCCCACCCAGGCAGGGCTGTGGGACCCCTCCAGATCTGCCCATCCCTTCCAGCTTCAAGAAATACATAAGAGCCCCCCTGTCCAGCTCCCCTCCTTCCCAGGATCCCTGTAATTCACTGGAGGGGCCGCTGCCACACTCACTCTCCTGCTGCCTCCCAGCATCCCTGGCTGTGGGGGTCTGGGGATCCCACAGGTCCACGGGGCTGCCTGCTCCCAGTCTCTCCTGCCCTCCAAACCCACTCCCGAGGCCCCTTAGACTTTGTCCCATGAGGAATGTGGCGGTTGCAGACATGTCCTGTCCCAGAGCTGGGCCGAAAAGCCAAAATACTGGAGTTTTGCATTGAACGTGCCCTCAAAATCTCATCCCAAGTTTTTCCTTTGGCTCTGTCTGGTGTTGCTGCTTCCAGGCTGGGGCTGGTTTAAGTGCCACCCTCCCAAAGGGGATCCCAGCTCTGAGGAAGGCTGACCTGCTCCTCATTGGCAGAGAGTTATGTCTCATTCTGGGGCACCTTGGGCTCGTGCTGGGGTCAGGGCTGCTCCGGTGATCCCAGGTACTCGGTCTGCAGAGGATGGCACATCCCCTGCCTTGTGCCCAAGTGGATTTCATTTCCATTTTCCTGATATTCCTGCAGTTTTGGTGGCAGATTCTTTGTTTTAGGGACTGCACTTGTTGCTGGGCTGGAGGACAGGTGAGAGACATGCTTTTCCCTAGGGAGCTCCCCTTTCACCCCTCCCTGTGTCAGAACCCCCTCTCCCTTTCCCTTTCTGTCCCCTCCCTTGGGGACAGGGCTGGGTGGCTGCAGCTGTGCCCCTGGCCTTGCTGGGGCTGTGGGTGAGTGTGCACAAAGTGGGGCGACCCAGGGCACCCAGTCCTTGCTTCAAACTGGGGTGGGAAGAGCTGCTGGCCCCCCTCACCCCTCCTTGCTTGTCTCCACAGCCCAGCCCAGAAACTTGTGTTCAACAGAGTGAATGGCAAGAGGCCACAGGTGCTGCTGCATCAGGTCTCAGCTCCTGAGGAGTGCTACACCCTGGCCCATGAGGAGAATGTCCGCTTCATCTATGAAGGTGAGGGCAGAGGGTCCCTGGGCAGCACCTGGGGGGGCTGGAGCGTGTGGGGTCCCTTCTGAGGCAGCTGCATCGTGCTGGGAACATCGACGGTGCAGGGATGGAGTTGCCAGCCTGGGGACCTGCCCTCTCCTGTTCCCCTCCTGCGGCCCCCCAGGCTGGGAAACCCCCATCCCAACCCCCCCCCTTCCTGTTCCCCCCAGCCTGGCAGCAGGTAGAGCAGCAGCTGGACGGCAGCCGGAGCGGGGACAGCGCCTGCGGCCCTGTGCAGTACGTGGAGAAAACCCCCAACCCCGGGCTCAAAAGTGAGTGGGAACCGGTTGGGGCACTTTGGGGGATGCTGGGCTCAGGGGTGCAACAAGCTGGTGTGGGCTCAGCCTGCACCTGAGCAGGGCTGTGGTGGGAGGAGGAGGATGCTTGGAGAGCTGGTTGGGTCTGTCCTGCTGGTGCTGAGGCCACTCTGGGGGTCCTGGGCAGGGACAGCTGGCCTTGGCACTGTGGTGGGGATGTCCCACTGTGCCCCTTGGAGGAACATCAAGCAGGACTCCTGGTTGATGACTCCTCTGGGATTCAGGCCTTCTCCAGCCACCAAGGTGGGCTCAGCACCGTGCTGGAGAGGAGCTCCCCGGTCCTCCTGGGGACTTGCTTCTCCTGGGGCCAGCAGGACCAAGTGGGGATGGGACAACACTTCTCTGGTGGCAGCTGGAGTGAGGGCTGTGACTGCAGCCTGGGGGGTCCTGCAGCAGCCAAGAGCTCTGTAAACCCAGCCTGGCCTTCTGAGGACATGGCACAGGGGTGGGGGAAATTTGGAGGTGTCATTAGGTTGAATATCAGGAAAAGATTCTTCCCCCAGAGGGCGGCTGGGGGGACTGAACAGGCTCCCCAGGACAGTGGTCATGGCCCCAAGGCTGCCAG